TAATAATGGTTTTACTCAGTTTCAGTAAACTTATTCAGCCTCAGGATTCAAACTATATTTTCACAGGAAATGTAATTTATTCCAGTTATTCTTTTAATGAATGCTCACATAGTTTTCCCCAGTTTCTCATGTACAGACAAGTTAGTTAGTCAGTTGGAGAGTTGGTCAGTTAGTGAGTTATTTGTGTAGTCAGTCAGATTCCTGCTTTAACTGTTGTATTTTTCTGTTCTTGTTTCACAGCTGAAGGTCACCATGCTTAGTCCTTTGTTTCGAGCCCACGGCCTGTTCGTGGCCTCCCACCCCTGGGAGGTTATCATCGCCACCGTCACACTCACCATCTGCATGATGTCCATGAACATGTTCACTGGAAATGATCAGATCTGTGGCTGGGATCTGGACTGCCCCAAATCAGAGGAGGTGAGAGGTCCACAGGGTCAGCAGTGTCCACAGTTAGTTCTAAACCACTTTTATAGCGTCTGTCTCCCGTTGAAAACAGAATGTCCACGTTTATTATATGACCAAAAAAAAAGAAGAAGAGATAAACAGCAAAGAAGATTTTCCCAAAGTGACTGGAGCTCCTGTTTATAGTCTTTAAGTCAGTGAGGTCATATGAAACATCAGACCTGGCTCCATCTGTCTTTGAATCATGTAGGAACAGGTTTCTTCCTCCTCTGGGCCAGGTCGTCACCTGGTCGATGTGGGTTAAACCCAACTGCTGCAGAGCTGAGATTCTCATCATGTCTTCTGTCAGTGTCTCTCAGCTGTCTCACCTGCATCCTCTTCTCTACTTACAGGAAGTACTGAGCAGTGACATCATCATCCTGACCATCACACGCTGCATCGCAATTTTTTACATTTATTTCCAGTTCCAGAGCCTGAGACAGCTGGGCTCCAAATACATTCTGGGTGAGTCAGAGAATGTTCTCAGACGTGTTGATGTCCTGAAGTTGTAGCAGAGTTTATTTATTCTCCAGAATACCTGAGATCATTTTCTGCTTTTTCAGGCATCGCTGGTCTGTTCACCATTTTCTCCAGCTTTGTGTTCAGCACAGTCGTCATCCACTTTTTTGACAAAGAGTTAACCGGCCTAAAGTAAGGAAATTCAGTTTTTATAATCGCCTGAATGCTGAGCCAGAATTGTTTATACATTTGTTTTTTTACTTCAGCAGATTTTAGCCTTTCATGTCTCCAAATGTTCAGCTAGTTGATGACATTATCACTGCCTTTTTGAAATATGTATCTTTATTTACATATTTCTTATTAAAATGAATGGGAAAAAATATTTGAAAGCCTTTGATCTTTTTGAAATTTACTAATTCCATTCTTAGCTTTTAGCTACTGTTCTTCTAATATTTGCATTTAGCTACTGTTTCTGTTGGTCTTAGTTTTTAGCTAATGATGGTTTGCTGGTTTTAGTGTTTTGCTAAAATTAGCTTCTGTTTTGATGGTTTGATTAACACATTTCAGTAAAATCATTTAGCTTTCAGCATGACAGAAGGACCAGGTTTTTGTTGTTAGCATGTTGTTTCCTCTGCTGTCAGCTCTAACACACAACCACTAACACACAACCACTAACACACAACCACTAACACACAACCACTAACACACACACATGTTTGTCTTCCAGTGAAGCTTTGCCTTTTTTCCTGCTTCTCATTGATTTATCCAAAGCGTGCACACTCGCCAAGTTTGCCTTGAGCTCAAACTCTCAGGTATCATCTCACACTTGAACAAATAAAACCATCTCCTGTGAATCCAGCTGTTGTCTGATGTGTGTAGGTGTCTATGTGTGTGTTTGTGTGTGTTCTAAGGAGGAAGTGAGGGAGAACATTGCTTCAGGGATGGCTGTTTTGGGACCAGCCTTCACTTTGGATGCTCTGGTGGAGTGTTTAGTGATCGGAGTGGGAACCATGTCAGGTACATCATTTCAGACTGAATCATTTCTAACACGATATCATTCTGCATCCTGTTACGTCACAGCAATAATCTGTCATAGCTGTCACAGCAAGGTAAAGCAGCTTCATATGGGAAGAAACGTGTCATTAGAAACTGAGTTTGAATTGCTCAGAATGAATCTGTATTTGCAAACTTTATAATCACTGGTCTGAAAAATTATTTCACTAAACTGAAACTGAATTTAATGGTTTGAATCCAAATTACATTAAACTGTTTTGGGTTGTATTAAAATCCAGTTAGACTACTTTCACTTTCAGTTCTATATTTCAATTTCAGTTCCAAAGTTATTTTTTTGTGTCACACATTTGGGACCTTGAGAAAGCCACAGAGTAAACACACATAAACAGTTTTTCCCCCATGGTTTCATAWTAAAATAAATAAATTCACAGCAGGGAAATCACATTTACTGGGTTTTGATTTGATGAACTTCTGCCCATATTTTTCATATCATAAAAACACTGAAGATGACTGATCAGCAGGAACATGGTATAATTATTTGCCTGACAGACCATACATTAATATGTGGATAATTTGCATCCACCACCGGTCAAAGTGAAAGGCCTGTTTTAATCCAAAAAAGGGCGGGGCTTTTGGCTTCTCCTGAAAAGGGGTGGAGCAATGCACAGAGGTTAAGTACTAGTTACATAACCCAGATGTCTTGCTCTATAAAAGCAGTTTTATTTAACCTTGTTGTCACATCATGTTAATTAGTTCTTCTCAACTAAGAATAAATAAAACTAGTTTGAATCTGAGGAATCAAACTGTACTTTGTGACTTGTGTGTTGCATGTCTCTTGTGTGTGTGTGTGTGTGTGTGTGTGTGTGTGTGTGTGTGTGTGTGTGTGTGTGTGTGTG